GTATCAATTGCTCAACACCTCTCTTAAAATGCAGTATCTAGAACATGGTGTTTGGAGGTTGGCATGCCCTTGGTACTCCATCAATTTGTACTGAATGGATGGATGAATGAAGTGGTTCACAAAAACCATGATATAACAGAACTATTCTCCCTTTTCTCTATGCATTGTAATTTTATTAATACAGCCTGAGCTTGTATTAGCTCTCCCATGAGGCATTTTCACATACCTGCTGGCTTGGTGGGTAAAGGAGTGTCCCCTGGGGGAACAAGAATACAGAACCCATTGACTGATGCCTACGCCCCTCAGGGGGTATAATAAAAAACCGGTGGCATAACAGAAAAGGTCAAATGAGAAAATTAGCACTCTAGGCCAGGCGGGTGGCTCATGCCTGTAATCCCAGCACTTTGGGAGGCTGAGGCAGATGGACTGCTTGAGGCTAGAAGTTCAAGACCAACCTGGGCAACACAGTGAAACCCCATCTCTACTAAAAATACAAAAATTAGCTGGGTGTGGTGGTCACCCAGACACCACAGAGTTTTTTGAAACTCTGTCTCAAAAAAAACAAGAGGGTAGAGGAGAGTCCATCAGGTGACCTATGATGGACATGAAGCAAACATGAGAAATCAGCGTTTGCTGTTTTAAATCATGGAGATTTTGTTTGTTGTTACTACGGCAGACCCTAGCCTACCTAGCCTGATTCTATATGACTGACACAGGAACAGCAACACTCAGAGCTCATGTCCTCTGGCCCACAGCTCACAGCTTTCACATTATTTCTTTTCCTTATGCCTCTAACCTGTAAAATGAGAAACCATCGTTTGGAGGGGCATACATGGGTTATTCCAAGCAGCTCAGGCAAGTCCTACCTGCCATCAGTGGGGAGATGTATCTGTTCACACCAATAATGCCCTAGGAGAAGTCACCATGGAGATGGGTTTAAAATTTTTTTTCTTTTATTCCCACAGAAGAAGAAACTCAAGATTATGTGACTGAAATCCACCTAAGATTGCCACTGCAGCCCAGAGAATGGATGGACACTTGGTGGGTGAAGTGGGAAGACACCTGGAGGTGAAGAGAAGAACTTGGGAGTAATTTAGAAGGGATGAAAAGAGCAAGTCACCTAAATCAGTGGTTCTTAAACTTTTACCGCATCAGAATCACCTGGAAGGCCTGTGAAACCACAGATTGCTGGGCTCTACCTCCAGAGTCTCTGATTCATTAGGCCTGGGGTGGGGCCAAGAATTTGCAGTTCTAACACCTTCTCAGGTGATGCTGATTCAGAGACCACACTTTGAGAACCGCTGCTCCAGAAGAATTAGCTACAAGAAACTGGGGGGTGGAGGCTCTGGCAAGAGGAGTCAATGTGGTTACAGCTCTCCAATGCTTGGCCTTAGTGGATTCTCTTTGGAGAAGAAAAAGAAAGGAGCCAGTTTTCCTTTTTCCACCCAAGACATTAGTCTCAAACATAACACACTACACAACAAAATTAAGCTCCTCTAAGGGAACAAAACAAGAATCTCATTCATTTGCATAATTTTAAAAAAACTCGTTCTGTGAGAAGAAATCATGCCGCACTCACCCTCCAGAGCTTCCCCAGGAGGTAAATCTAAGTGTATTTCATTTAGGAGGAAGCAATTTAGGTAATTGGTTGCAGCCCCTTTTTTAACCTTATCTACACACTCCCCTTCACAAACCTCCATTGCAAGTCAGCTTTCTTGCACTTTGACCCCACCAAGGCTGGTCACACTCTCCTCAGCTGTGAACGACACCTACACACATGCACGTGTACACACTTATCTTCCCTTATCTAAATCTTCCCTCTTCCTCCAGTTTAGGGCCAGAGGCTTCAAGAATATCTTTCCTCTCTTTCATTCCTATCACAGTCAATCAATCACCAAATCCTGTTCATTTTACTTCCCAAGTACCTCCAGAATCCATCCAGTGCTCCTCATTTTTCACTTTAACTCAACTGGTATAGATCCCCCATGCTCTACCCTCCTTCCCCTCTAGGTTTTTGCCCAGGTTGTTCACCTTGACTAGACTGATCTCAATTTAAACCACATCCCCTTCCAGATGAGGAGGCCATCTGTGGTCCCTAAGCTAGGTTAGAGTCCCCTTTATCAATTCCCATTGAACTCTATGTTTCCTCTATCATGAACATTTATCACATTTGTGATCTCTTATTACCACAGGAGACCCTAGCCTATTCTGACTGATTCTGTATGACTGACGCAGGAATTAGAACACTCAGGACTCATGTCACCTGGAACCATCATATTATAGCTTTCACATTACTTCTCTTCTCCATGCCTCTAATCTGTAAAATGAGAAACTATCCTTTGAGGGGCATGCACACATTATTCTGAGCATCTCAGGTGAGTCCTACCTGCCAACAGTGGGGAGATGTATCTGTTCACACCAATAAGAGCAAGCAAATTCCCTACTCAACCGTAAGCTCCTCACCACCAGGATCACATCTGTGTTGCTTGCTGCTGTACCTGTAGAGTCCAGCACAGCCCCAGACACCGTGTAGGTACTCACTAGGTATTTAATAAGTGCAGGAATCCTCCCTTCTTCTCAATGCCTATAGCATATTCTGCCTGTTGTAAGGAAAGTCTGGCCAATCAGTGCCACACACCACCTGAGACAAGCATGTACCCCCATGACATCCAGGAGATGGAATCTAGAGGGGAAAAAGTAAGCCTTGAAAAGAAGGTGCATCTTCCCCTCGGAAGCTGGATGGAACTGAAATTAACTACAGAGATGTTTCGGTAGTAGGAAAGAGGCTACCTTTTGAAGAGAAGTGGTCAGTAGATAAAGTCTTTTGTTAAGAATGAGAGGAGAAGGAATTGTGTGTGACAAATGTTTTGTAATGGTAGGTCTGCATTTTCTAGCAGCTCTTATGGAAGTTGGTAAGTTCCCAAGCTAAAGGTTCTGATGGACTCTCTGTCCAGACTTAACAACAGGCACCCGTGTCTCCTGGATGCCTGAGGACTGAACTCAATGACTTCCCAAGAGCTTCTGACCTTCAGGATCCTATAAACAAATTTATTCTGAGCTGGAATTTGGGGAATCCACATCCTGGCTCTTTTTAAACAGCAGTTCGTTCTCAATCTAGGAGACAAGACAATCTTTACTCACTCTCTTTATTAGTATTAATGCTTCCAAAGTCAGACTCCCAACTCCAGCCCCTGACTGTCATCTCCTATGGACCACCAGCATCAAAATAACTTAGGAAGTGGCCTCTGACTATGACAGGAGTTGGACTTGATGAGGAGAACACCACGCAAAGGCAGCACAGGCCTTGAAGCCTGGCTAACCTGGGATGGCATCTTGGCTGTCCTAGCTGTGTGTCCTTGGGCACTTCCTTGGGTCTCAGGTTCTTCATCTCTAAAATGGCGATGGTCTATCTCTCAGGATGATCCCATTAAATGAGATAGGCGTGTAAAGCCTCCGGCACAGAGCATACGTGCAAGGATGTCAGTTTCACCATAATTATAGCTTTCTAGCTTTAAACGTACTGTGGGATAATGATTCTAAGCTGAAAATACTATAGAGATGAAATGACACGTTTGGAATTTGCTTCAAAATAATCTAGGGGATGAGAGTGAAGGGATAGATAAAATAAAATTAGCCATGTTTTGGAAATTGTTGAAAATGAGCAATGAGTATATTGAATTTATTACCATATCTCTTTTTGTATATTTTTTCCATAATAAAAAGTCTAAAGGTGTAGGTATTAAGGGAGGGAAATGCTGTAAAAATATAAATACTGAGAGTTTATTTTAAGATTATATTTGGTCTACGTGACTAAACAGAGGAAAAGTGATTTGAAGAAGGAAAAAACCTTTAAAGCTAACATCTATTTGTTACTTTCCGAAACATAAATGTTTTCTTCAAATAGAACTGTCTCAAATGAATGGAAGGGGGCAGAGCGATGCACATTTCTTGCCTTCCTTTTTTGGGAAAACACATCCTGCTTGGGCTGTACATGTATTTTTACGTAGACAAGCCCTGGGTGGTAGAGCCCACCTGAGCATCCGAGAGCCCTGCTGAAACTGAGCTGAGGAACAGGAAAGTTCCCATGTTAGGAAAAGAGAACAGAAAGAACTCAAAATGTTCAGCGATGATGGGGATTACCAGCTCTCCTCTCTTTGGATTTTGGACTCTTATTTGAGGCTTCCCTGGGAGCCTGATTCAGCTCAGTCTGAGGGGACACCCCCTGCCTCCACCCACAACACACACATGTTTTAAGAGATGGGGTCTAGGGCAGGATGTGGTGGCTCACGCCTGTAATCCCAGCACTTTGGGAGGCCGAGGCAGGAGGATTGATTCAGCACAGGAGTTTGAGACCAACTTGGGCAACATGGTGAAACCCCATCACTACAAAAAACACAAAAATAAGCTGGGTGTGGTGGTGCATGCCTGTAGTCCCAGCGACTTGGGTGGCTGAGGCAGGAGGATTGCTTGAGCCCAGGGAGGTCAAGGCTGCAGTGAGCCAAGATTGTGCCACTGCACTCCAGCCTGGATGACAAAACAAGACCCTGCCTCAAAAAAAAAAAAGATATTTGGTCTTGTTAACCTTGAACTCCCGGGCTCAAATCCATCCTCCCACCTCAGTCTCCCAAGTATCTGGTAATACAGGTGTGTGTCAGCTATATTTCCACCCAGATGAGTGGGTCCTCTCCGAACAGGGCTAATGTACCAGAAGATGTATCAGGAGAAAGGGTTCACTCAGGGGAAATGGAACTTTAAAGAAGCTCTGACAGTACCCATCATAGCACATCCCTGTATCAACTCTCCTCTTCCACAGCTTGCCACTGAGAGAAGTCTGGAGATTGAAAAATAAAATTCTTCTCACATTCCTGTTTGGATCAACCAACTCCCTCACTCCAAGCCCCTCTGTCTCAGAGAAAACAGTCCAGCAAGTTTTGTCTTCAGCAAATGCCTTTAGTATCCCATACTCTGCCCAGATAAGGAGAATACATAAAAATACTTACTCTTCTTGAAGAATGAATTCACTGTTTTCCGGAGAAAACTGCCCCGTCACAGGATGCCTGAATGCTGTGGTCTGCTGGTTATGGCTAAAGAGAAAGAGAGATGATGGATGAGAATTCATGTGAATGAAAGGAGTACAGACATGACAGGTCAGTCAGCAATGTCTGGCGACCCTGGTCATCGAAGGTTTCTCACAGGGGGAGAAATGTGGGCCTTTCCCCTGAGACACACTTAGTCTGTCAGAAACACGCCACACTAAGAAAAGCCCAAGAATTTCCAGCTCAGGTGCCAGAGCCCACCTACGAGACAGGGAGACTTCTAAGGAAGTCTTGGCTCCAAGAGAATACTGCATCTTGGAGAGACATTCCATGAAGTACTTACTCCAGCAAACTGAGACGATGAGCAAAAAGTCACTTTAAGACAGTACGAGCTAAAACAAGAATGAAGGAAAGCAGATGACACTTCCGACAGCTTCCAAATCCATGAACCTAGTGAAAGAATTCTAAGAATTAACCACCCACCCAGAAAAATCTATCTTCTGAAAATTCTTCTCCCTACAACAAAATGTCTTCACTTCAATGATGGGATATAATCATTGGGCATGTCTCTGCAACACAACCTGCACAATTTCAGCACGGTGGAGTTTCTATCACCCTTTTGATGTTAGGAAGGATCAGCTTCCATACCAGGCTGACAGACACAAACAAAGCGTGTAGGTGTTTTGTGCATCAACAAAGGCTGCTTGGTTCTTTGAAAGGGCGGAGGAGCTGGCTCTAGAGACTGTTGGTTTGCTCCACAAATAAACTAAACTAAACCTCCTCTTTTTAAAACAAAATATGATTTATTTAAATTTCTTTTAAGATCATAGTCATTGCAGACTTTTTTTTTTTTTTTTTTTTTTTTAAAGACAGAGTCTCACTCTGTTACCCAGGCTGGAGTGATGCAATCTCGGCTCACAGCAACTTCCCCTTCCTGGGTTCAAGCAATTCTCCTGCTTCAGCCTCCCAAGTAGCTGGAATTACAGGTGTGCACCACCACGCCAGGCTTATTTTTGTATTTTTAGTAGAGACGGGCTTTCCCCAATGTTGGCCAGGCTGGTCTCAAAACCTTGACCTCAAGTGATCCACCCACCTCAGCCTCCCAAAGTGCTGAGATTACAGGTGTGAGCCACTGTGCCTGGCCTGTAGACATTTTTTAAAATGTAAAAAGTAAAAAGTCACCCATGACCTCTCTATGTGGAGATATACCTGGGTATTTTCACCTTCCAAGTTTTTAATTTTCTTCTACTTAAAAGAATCACTTCAGGCAACTGAGAGTGATTTTACTGTATACAAAATTCTATGTCCTGCTTTTTCACTTCCTATTAACATAGAAAAAGTCCTATGTCATTAAGACTTCTTTATTCGAAATAGCTGAATAACAGTCTTATCATACGAATGTAAACAAAAATTTTTTTGACAGGGTCCTGCTCTGTTGCCCAGGAAGAGTACAGTGGGGGGTGATCGTGGCTTACTGCAGGCTCAAACTCCTGGGCTCAAGCAATCCTCCCACCTCAGCCTCCCAAGTGGCTGGGACTACCGGTACGTGCCACCACGCCCAGCTAAGTTTTGGGTTTTTTTGCAGAGATGAGATCTCACTATGTTGCATAGGCTCGTCTCAACCCTCAGCCCACCAGGCTTGCTTCCCAAAGCGTTAGGATTATGTCTGGCCAAATGTAATTTTTTTTACATACAACCACTCAAAAAGTTGCCTACTGGGCACCCACGTGCTGGGCACTCCTTTAGGTACTGGAGATAAAAGGTGAACAAAAAGTCCTTATCCCATGGTATTTACATTCTAGAAAGATTTAAACTCTTCTAATGCTAGATATTTTAGGTGCCTCCCCCCACTATTATAATCTATATCTCTTTCAATGTAATTTGAATTTTGCAATTCAAATTTTTCCTTGGGTTAAAGTCTCAAAGGTAAAATTACTGAATCAAAGGGCCTGGTCATTTTTTAAGGTTCCTAGTATAGACAGTTAAAATGCTTTCATAATCAATAGATCATCTCAGTTTGGTATTGTTAAAATATTAGCCCCATCTCCAAACTGAGGACTAAATCTCCCTAGAGATTACTGTCTAAATCAGTATAGCACAAAGGTTATCAAAGAAAAACTCTCTAGGCCTACAAAGTTTTTTTTACACCATCCTAATGCCTGGTCAGAATCTCCAATGTCCAGGTGTCTGGGATAACCTGGGCACTGAGGGTTAGAGCAACCTGAAAACCCTAACAAGCCAAATGTGAAGCCAGCCATGAGGCCAGATTGTTCCTTAGTCCTGCAACTATGCACCGCCTCACCATACTGTCACCCTTCCCAACCATAGCCAGCCTCTGAATTCCCTCCTCCTGGTCCCAGGCAAGCCCGCGGAATTCTATGACCTCATTTGGCAAACAGCAGACTAGTCTTCCCAAAAAAGCAGAGTTAAGGCTGAGCATCTAAGATAAGGACAAGAAGCAGAAACAGGCCTTCTTAACACCTGTTTTAAAAATCCTTGCACCACATTCAATGGTTAGGCTTTATTTATACCCAGCTTTTTCTTTTTTCTTTTGAGATGGAGTGTCGCTCTGTCGCCCAGGCTGGAGTGCAATGGCATGATCTTGGCTCACTGCAACCTCTGCCTCCCGGGTTCAAGTGATTCTCCTGCCTTAGCCTCCCAAGTAGCTGGGATTACAGAAACCTGCCACCACATTTGGCTAATTTCTGTATTTTTAGTAGAGGCAGCGGTTCACCATGTTGGCCAGGCTGGTCTCGAACTCCTGACCTCAGGTGATCAGTCCACCTCAGTCTCCCAAAGTGCTGGGATTACAGGTGTGAGCCACCACTCCTGGCCCATCTTTTTCCAGAGACTTATCTCCACTTGCCAGAGAATCTGAAAATGCAAACTCTAAATCTAAACCTGCCCATTTCCACCTGGAGGGGAAAAAAAAAGCCCTGCTCGTAACAGAAATAACCATAAAACATTAACACAGCTATCTGTGATTATCTCTAACGAGGTTTGCAGTTTACAAAGCATTTTCTTACTCATCTGGGCTATTACCACCATCAGTCCCACCATCAATGAGGAAATAGGGCTCAGAGAGGTAAATGTGGTTGGGGGTTGCCTGGTACAAGATAACTTTGTTGATAAATTATAAGACTGGGACATGGGGCAGGTGCAGTGGGTCACACCTGTAATCCTAGCACTTCCTGGGGCTGGGGCAGGTGAATCGCTTAAGCCTAGAAGTTTGAGATCAGCCTGGGCAACATGGTGAAACTTTGTCTCTACAAAAAGTACAAAAATTAACCAGGCATGGTGTCACACACCTGTAGCCCCAGCTATTTGGGAGGCTGAGTTAAGAGGATCACTCGAGCCAGGAGGTCGAGGCTGCAGTGAGCTGTGATTGTGCCACTGCACTCCAGCCTAGGTGACAGAGTGAGGCTCTGTCTCAAAAACAAACAAAAAAGTGATAAGACTGGGAAATGACTCCAGGTCCTCTATTTCTAAATTCTGTGTTCTCTGTATGATAACCTGCTTTCCCTTTCCCTTAGGAGTCTCAGGGGGGCAGCTTCCTGGCCATGATCAGAAAGCCCTAAAGACACAAGGCATCAGAAAAACAGCACCAGCTGCCACTATTCCCTCTCATTCTTTATCTCCCTCTTTCCCCTTTTGTCCAGGGCCAAAGTTCTGAGTGACAGCACTTGTGTGGCACTCAGTAGTCCCCAAACAGCCTTCGGTTCTACCATAAGATCAGCTGGTGGATCTCTGGCAGATGAGGGTAAAAAGCAAATCTTCTACAGGCGTGGGGCAGATCCAGCAGCCAGTGACCACCACTTCATATACACTGTACAATTTTTTTTTTTTTTTTTTTTTGAGACACAGTCTCGCTCCATTGCCCAGGCTGGAGTTCTGTGGCGCGATCTCCACTCACTGCAAGCTCCGCCTCCCAGGTTCACGCCATTCTCCTGCCTCAGGCTCCCGAGTAGCTGGGACTACAGGCGTCCGCCACCATGCCCTGCTAATTTTTTGTATTTTTAGTAGAGACGTGGTTTCACCATGTTAGCCAGGATGGTCTCCATCTCCTGACCTCGTGATCCGCCCCCCTCAGCCTCCCGAAGTGCTGGGATTACAGCTGTGAGCCACCACATCTGGCCTACACTGCACAATCTTAATAGCAACTCCTGGGCTCCCCACCCCAAACTGTACCAGCTTAAATAAACTCAGGGTTCTAAGTAAATGAATCTTGAGCTGCAGAGTTTAGGCACTAAGATGAATTTTACATTCTAACATTAGAAGAAAGGTAATTTTTAAAAAGCCAACACAAAATAGCTGTCATTTGATCAGACCTAGAGACAGTTCTTCAAAATTCTTTCCCTAATATGGATGCTGCCCTCTTTGCCAAAAGAGTTTTCAGTCACAGTGTCAACACCACCACCACCATCTCCTGCAATTTACAAGGAGTTTTTTGTTTTTTTTTTTTTTTGAGATGGAGTCTCGCTCTGTTGCCCAGGCTGGAGTGCAGTGGCCGGATCTCAGCTCACTGCAAGCTCCGCCTCCCGAGTTTACGCCATTACAAGGAGTTTTAACTAAGGAGCTTTAACTGTGCTTACATTCATCATCTTATTTGCCCCTCCAAACTACCCATTGAAGTAAGCAGGGTAGATATTTTCATCCCCATGTTAAACATAAGGAAACTGAGGTTCCAGGTTATGGGATGTTACTAGAATACTATTTTTTTTTTCAAAAAGACTCATACATTGAGAAAAGAGATGAACCAGTGTAATGGCTTCTGAATACTGAAGTCTTAAAATTTCTTTTTTTTTTTTTTGTTTGCGACAGGGTCTCACTTTGTCACCCAGGCTGGAGTGCAGTGGAATGATCTCAGCTCACTGCAGCTTTGACCTCCTGGGTTCAAGCGACATTCCTGCCTCAGTCCCCCAAGTAGCTGGGACTTAACCGGCGCATACCACCATGCCCAGCTAATTTTTTTTATTTTTAGTAGAGATGGGGTTTCACCATGTTGCCCAGACTGGTCTCCATCTCTTGAGCTCAAGCAATCTGCCCAC